CCTGAGCCTGGGCAGGGAAAGCTGGCTCAGGACTGCTCAGAGCCGCCCCAGACACTGTCAGCTGAGGGACCTTTTCTTCTCAGGCAGACTGAAGGACTGGGCGAGGCTGTTTTTCTCCTTTTTGTCCCATCCCCCATCAAATCTAAAACTCCCTGATCTTCTAAGAGCTCAGCATAAAGTCTTAAATTTTCAGCCATACATAGGAGTAACATTTTTCTTTGAAACTACGTAATTAAAAGCACATTGAGATCAGCTATTTCCTCACGGAAGGGGCTGGGGCATCCCGAGGAGATGAGCTCAACGTGCCAGGCTGCCAAGCACTGGCTCATCTAGAGAGCAGAACCTGAGCAGGGAAAAGCCACCGGTACCTGGGCTGACTGTAACCGCCAACTTTTATCTTTCCTTCTACCTTCTTAGCGATCTCCTGAGCTGTTGTGCTGGCACATAACCAAGGTGACTCTGCTCCAGCACCGTCCTTGAGGCCCTGCAAGCTGCTGGGGACAGAGCACGTTGGTGGCTGGCAACGGACGCAGGCTCGGGGCAGACAGGCTGCAAGCCACGAGAGAGGGGGTGGGGATGCACCCCAGGGTGCTGGTCTGCAAATCAACCTAATATCTTTGATTTCCTGTTTTATTGCTATTTTTGGTCTTTAATCGAAAGTCTATCCTGAAGATACATGCTAGATGGAGGATTATCAGCTGAGCTGAGGAAATTAAGAAGCAACTCCAAAGAACAGGAGCTGTAAGCGTGTGGGGGACCTCCCTGGGTCCCCTCACATCCTCAGATGCTCTCTGCACTGCAGGCCGTCTACAAAGAGCTGGTGCCCAACCTTAGAGCTGCAGACATTCACATTAGCTCTGTGGAGGAAGTCCACATGAAAATAGGGCTACAGAAGTGAGCTATAACACTGCAAACCCATCCCTCCTGTATTAATTATTTCACTGACTTAAATACATTTGGCCTATGGCTCTCCCATGAGGGACAAGGGAAAGCAGCTCTTCTTTGCACTGCCAGAGCTTGTGGCTTCCCAGATGCAGAGTCTGCTCTAGTCTGTGCACAGAGGTTCAAAACTCTGCAACCTGCTGTGATACAGCTGGGACTTTTCTACAGAGGGAGGCCAACCCCCTTAACCCTTTTCTGGATGATGCTCCTGAGCCCTGTAATGAAGCAGGGGATGGCTGAGATGCACGCACAGGGCATGGGCACAGGGTGCTGGGGCTCCACAGCCCCACGAAGCTGGAGGGAGGTGAATATGCGAGTGATAAAAGCCTTCAGAGTCTGCTTCACCGGTGTATTGGCTGGTTGCCCTGGGGTAAAGACTTCCCAGCACAGGTGGATCTGACCCGTAAAAAAAAAAAATAAGGGTTATGGAAACAGAGAGGGGTGTAAGTATGGATCAGATAACGCATCCCAGCACCTACCGTATGCTGGGTAACAGACCTTCAGGCAGCAAACCGTGCTGAGCACCGTCAGGCTGGTGAGGCTGCACAGCCCGAACAAGACCCCGCAGAAGGCGTAGAGGGTGCACACTGCCTGGTTGAACAGCCACCTGCGAGGGAAAGCCTGCGGGTAGACCAGCCCCGGCCCGCCGCCCGGCGCGGTGGGCTGACCGGCCTGCCAACCGGCTGGGCCGGAGGTTTTTGCATGGGCCCT